GGGGGTGGGGGTGGGTCTGTGAAGGTGTTTCCAGAAGAGAACGGCATTTGAGTCAGTGTCCTGACTAAGGGAGATCTGCCCTCACCCAATGTGGGCAGGCACTATCCAATCGGCAGAGGAAAGGCAAACACATTCTCTCTCTTTTTCTAGAGCTTGAGTACCATCGGCTCCTGTCCTGGGACAACAGAGCCCGAGGTTCTCTGGCCTCTGGATGCCGGGACTTACATGAGCGGTTCTCTGGTTCTCAGGCCCGACGACCTGAACTGAGCCACGCTACTGGCTTCCCTCACTCTGCAGACTGCAGACCCTACTGCGGTACTTCCAGCCTCCACAGACGTGTGAGCCAATTCCCCTAATAAATCCCCTCTCCTGTATCTCTATATGCTATTGGTTCCGTCTCTCTGGAGAACCCTAACGCATTAGTAACCGCATTTTTTCGGGTTGGAAAATTCACTTCAAATTTCCAAGTTATACCTTAATACTTCCCTTGGAGTAGCTAATCTTTATATGGCTAAACCCTTAGTGCTTTAATTAGAATTACAACATTGTCATTATTAATAACAAAAACTCATTCTTAAAGTGATGATGGTGTACTCTAAATAGACTCTGTGATTATTAACTCTTTTAATTCTTACAACGCTTTGTTTCTTTCCTCCATTTCACAGATGCAGAAACTGAGTCCCAGAGAGGTTAAGTCATATCCTGAAGGTTATATTGCTAATAAATGGTAGAACCTGGATTTGAATCCGAGCAGTCTTGCTCCAGTGTTTGCACTCTTAATAATCTAGTTATACCGATTCAAAAAAGCATATTATATGAACACAGATATTACAAATATTATAAAAACAGATTTATGCCCCAAAGACGAAAATAATTATTTTAGGAATTTACGAGCTTCTATGTCAGCAAGCTACCAGGGAGTCACAGACCTTTCAGAAAGAGTTCCAGCTCTTCCAATTTCTAGTTTGTGATCGTTCACTGAGAAGATTAAGGTCGCATTTATAAATCTGGGATAAATAATTTCTGTTCTTTTTACATAGGGTTAATATTTTAGGGGGATAAGATTGAATAAGATGGTGAACCAACTCATTATCATTTTAGAAGAAACTACGATATTAAAAAATTAAGCTAATGAGATAATAGATGGAACATTGTTTTGCAAATCAGAAAGTTTTATACTAATAGTTTCTTAAAAATCCTTTTCAGGGCCTGGCATGGTGACTCAAACCTGTAATCCTAGCACTCTGGGGGCCATGGCAGGAGGATCGCTTGAGGCTAGGAGTTCAAGACCAGCCTGAGCAACACAGTGAGACTCCCGTCTCTACAAAAAAAATACAAAAATTAGCCCAGCATGGTGGAGCGCCTGTAGTCTGAGATATTCTGGAGGATTTCTTGAGCCCAGGATTTTGAAGTTGCAGTGAGCTATGATCACGCTACTACATTCTACCCGGGGTGACAGAGCAAGACCTTACCTCAGGAAAAAAAAAAAAAGGGAGAGAGACAGAAAAGTCTTCAAAAGGCTTAAAAATAGTCTTAACAGACTCTCACCTAGAATTCTGAAATAGATATCAGACACTTCACCGACTCCAGTCTCTCACAATTGGAATCTATGTTTCACAAACCATCATCTGATCTACAAACAAGTTACTTCTCCTTTAAAAATATTTAGAGAAATGGAATACATTCTGAAGTTATTATAAACTCCTTGGCTGTGTATCTGGGGGCTACTGAGATACGGCCCAAAGCCAACCACAACCGGATGGTGGAAATGGCACTGGAGTATGCACAGATCCATGACTTAGTCTTAGCTCTGAAAACAACAAATCATCTTGGAGAAGTGACTTAATGGCTCTTTGGAGTGTAATTTCTCTTAGGTAGCGCCTTGTGTACACATGTATCCACCCAGCTATCAACAGACATTTATTGAGCACTGAACATAAAAAGAATAAATTAACCTATAATTCATAGTATACAGTTCCTGCACTCCTGTGATTCCACAGCCCACTGCTGCTCTACAGAAGGCCAGTCCCTACTCCATAACCCATACTGTTCATCTGGTAAACCTTCTCGAATTTATGCCAACCTCAGCAATTTCAGATGCCTTCTCATTTTTAAAGGTTCATCTTAAAGGCCTTCCTAATCTAAGAAACCTTCCCTAATCTCCAAACGAGATGGGTTTCCTTCCTCCCCTTGATGCACTTCTGCCTGGCATGATTTTCTAGATATAAATTCTATTACCCTGGCTGATGCTTAGAGGATAAGATTCATATGGGCGAAGGCTGTGTTTTTCTCTTGGTGACTTTTGCAGGGTCCAGCACAGTGCCCGATGAGACATTTGCCCCCACAGGAAACAGGCAAGAAACTTTCAGAGGGTTAGAGCTTACTGTTCCCACCTGTAAAAACAGTCAAGGCCCACAAAGATCACATATTACTGTCTGGACAAGGCAGATCTGGGAACAATCCTAGGATAGTGTAGCCAAGCAGCGTAGTGCACACCAGTCTTACAACAGAAACAATTAAACAATGACTAGTGATGATGAAAAGTTATTTATATTTTATCACAAGACAACAACTCTATATGTATTAGGCTGAACCATATGAAAATTTTACCTATAAAACAGCAATTTCACATGTTTCAATCTAACATTTTGCTGATGTATGTATTATCTGTCTCCTTTCCCACTCCACAGTGGCATGAGTCCCATGAGGGAAGGCATTTTTGTACGTTTCATTCACCATTGTATCTCTAGTGTCTGGAACATGGTGGCATTTGGCAAATATTTGTTGGATGAATGAATGAACTTACTAAGCACCAACTATTTGCCTTATACTCTTCTATATGATTTATATTTCATAACCATTTGTTTCCTCATAACATCCTAATTACTGCCATTCTTCAGATGAGGAAACCGAGGCTTGGTGAGGTCGAGTGACTTTCCTAAGACCACGTTCTTAACCAATACTTTATGTGAGGCCATTTATGCTATAAAAGTTGTCCAAGTTCACACTGTTTTTCCTCTCTGAACTAGACCATGCACAGATTCTACTGAAAGCAGTGATAAATTTCAGGATACCCAAAACAGAGGAAAGTGGGCAGGAACAAAGGGGAAAAAGAGAGGCACTAGGCAATGGGTTTGGGGAAGCCCATTACTCTTCGTGAAATCCAGCACGAAACATTTTCTAAAAATGACTCTCAGTCCTTCAGGTCCTCTGCTTCTTCAACTGTCTTGACAGTTGCAGTCCTGTCATTGGTGCTGCTTACTTGGGAAGAAGGGGCAGATGATGGATGCCTCTTGCCTCGAGCCTACAGATGAGCCTCGTAGGGACTACCAGACTCTCCTAGCAAGCGAGCATTCCCACCCTTTTTACCCTTTCTTCTGTAGACGAGATTCGGGGCCCCTACTTGTAAAGTCCTGTTGCTTTAAAAAACTATTGCCCTAACCTATCTATGATGGAGATACAGTGCCAAAAAGAACAAGTGAATAGTTAATATATTTTTAAATGAAAGGGATTTCAGTTTGAAATTTGTTGATGTTACTCATTCTCCTTTAATGCAAATATGCAGTCTATCTTTTGGAAAGAGAAAACTGTAACCTTGGGACACCTTGTTCAAGAACAACAGTCATAATTTGTCATTGTCACTATTCTTGATGCCAGGGGTCTCAGGTCACGTGTAGGGTTTGTCAGAGTGGCTCATTACAATTTCTGCTCTTGCTGAAATGTCCTTTTTCTTCACTTGAAAGAATTAGTTTACTTTCTAAGATATGGAATATAAGGCAGTCGCAATATATTTTCTAAAAGTTGAAAAAAGATAAATGGATGATTTATCAAACTCCCTAAAGTATAATAAAATGAACAACTCTGGGCTGTCATAAAATCAGGTTGACACTACTAAGTGATCAGTTCTTGCATGGGATTCAGGCAGAATGAGGATCAATCTCCAAGTCTATCCCACACTAGCTGGTGGCCTTTGGCAAGTTAGTTAACTTCTCTCTCAGTTTCCTCACATGTAGGCAAATCAAAGATCAGGAAGTGAATAAAGCACAGTACCTGGTACACAGTAAATGCTCAATAACTATTTATTTTAAAATGGGGTCTCACTATGTTGTCCAGGCTGGTCTCAAACTCCTGGACTTAGCGATCCTCCTGCCTCAGGCTCCTGAGGAGCTCCTGAGTAGCTGGGATTATATGTGCATGGCACCAGGGCTGGGTCTCAATAACTATTAAATAACAAAATATTAAACATTAGATTACATAGGAGGGAGAGTTCTCTAAAACTGCCTCTCTTCTAATGCCTTAGCCCCTGGATGAGTTTAAGTATCTTTTACTGTGAGCCAATGGAATAAATGTAACATTTTTTCCTGTGCCTCTAGGACTAATTCAGCACAGCCTTGGCCTTATAGAAACCCAATGTTAAACATGATTGACTGACTGACAGATTGATTTAGAGACAGAGTCTCACTCTGTTGCCTGGGCTAGAGTGCCATGGCGTCAGCCTTGCTCACAGCAACCTCCAACTCCTGGGTTCAAGCAGTTCTTCTGCCTCGGCCTCCCGAGTAGCTGGGGGTAGCATGCGCCACCATGCCTGGCTAATTTTTTCTCTATTTTTTTAGTTGGCCAATTAATTTCTTTCTATTTTTACTAGAGACGAGGTCTCGCTCTTGCCCAGGCTGGTGTCAAACCCCTGACCTTGAGCGATCCTCTCGCCTCGGCCTCCCAGAGAGCTAGGATTACAGGCATGAGCCACCGTGCCTGGCCTTAAACAAGATTTAAAGGATTGCTTCTTTAGCCCTATACAGCACAATTCAAGTGTCAAGAAGGTAGGAGATGCTATTCTTCAGACTGAATGGATTGCTCACTACATGGAATAGCTTCTCCTGTCTCAGAAGTCAGGATTCCCAGAGAAACAAACACAACAGATGGTCCTCTCCAGGGTGGTACAAAATATAGGCAATACGTCCCTAAGAAGAACATAGGATGGAAATACCCAGGATTCTCACCGGTTTGGAGCTTTCGCTTTCAGGCAACTGTTTAGTGCCAACTTGAAGACTGCCATCTTCCTCACTATTAACAGGTTCGCCACTCTGATCCTAAGGGACATCAAAAAAGAAAATGGCAAAGATGTCATTCTTCACTCACAGTCCCCCAAACTGTACAGATGCTCAATCACAGTTGCTTGTTTTCTTGTTACAATGGATATTGCTTCCGCTGCAGAAGCTGTCCTTGTTTTCTTCCTTTCTAGGAGAAGGCCATTTTTCCCCCAGGTATCTATCCCTGCTGCTCATAGATATGCCTTAGGTAAAGCTGGTACCCACTCTCGGTTTCAGGTATAGGCCCGATTGCCTAAGGGTTGGTCTCTTCTTTTTGCCAATGATTTTGTCAGGATGGGTATGTTCCCAATGGGTACCTTGGGAATGGATTTTGTCAGTTCTGGCCAATGGGACACAAAGAAAGATTTGCTGGAGACTTGTGGAAAAGTTCTTCTTTACTCCTAAGAGAGCCATGAGAAGTCCCCATACTTCCCTAATTAACAAGAAAGCATGAAGCCCAAATTTCCATGGGCAGCCATCCCCCAACGATGAGGGAACCAGCCTCAGGATGAAGCTGGCGCTGTGGGTGACAGAGCAAAGACAGAGATGGAAAGAATTGGTTCTCTGATGGCAAAACGGGACCACTGGATCAACAAGCCTAGAGCCCAGCCTTAACCATAGCCACTTTCTGTGAGAAAGAATAAATTTCTTTGTTTCAGCCAGTTTGAATTAGCTATTCTGTTATCTCCAGCCAAAATTTTCTCACTGAGCCAGTTGATTATGTTCTGTATAAGACTCAACTGCTTGAGAAAAGAGATTATGTTGATCTTGTTTATTTCTGAAATCAAGTACCTAGCACCATGCCTGGCACATGGACACCACTTGAGAAACCCTGGTTGTACCGATGAATGCAGTACTTGTTTTCTTTGATGACTTTTTCCTGCAGAATCTTAAAAATATATATTTAATATAAATGAGACATCTGGTAATAATAAGCCCCATTAAAATTCTAAAATACATTAAGCATCTCAATTGAATTATGACATATTAAATGTTATAGTTAATTAATTAGAAGTTTCTGCACTTTCTGGGATTACCTAAAGGAGCATGAGGGTGATAAATGTAGTATTGTACTTATTGTACATTGTACTTATCTGGATTTTTATTTTAAATCACCACCACCCTAGAATTACTGCATATTTCGACAGGATAGTTTGTAAAAAGAAAAAAATAGTTTTGATTTTGGCACTGTCAACCTCACTCGTAATTAAAGAAATGCAAATTACAGCAAAGAGAAAGCATTCTTTCAGTTATCAAATAAAGGACAGAAAAGAAGACCATTCAGTATTGATAATATTATAGGGAAACAGGAACTTTTACACACCATTGAGAGAATGTAAATTAGGACAAAAAACATACATAATATATAGATATAGATATGTATGCAGAGAAAATGTCTATAAATATATAGAACAAATTTTTTAAATTGCTTACTTCCAGGGAGTGGTATTATGGAATGAGGACTTCTTGCATTAGTTATTTCTATACTATTGGATTAGAGAAGAATTAGCATATGTAGTATTGCCTATTTAAAAATAAAATAAGGGAGAACTATGAGAAATACCTAAAAGAAAAAAAAATCCAAAATAAAAAGTATCATGGACTTAAGAATTGGTCAGATCTGGGTTCAAATCTCAAGTCTGACACTTAGAATTACATGATTTAGGGCAAGTTGTTTTCTGATTCTGAGTACAGGCTGAGTATACCTTTCCTGAAATGCTTGGGCCCAGAATTGTTTTGGATTTTGGAATATTTGCATTATACTTACCAGTTGAGCATCCCAAACCCCAAAATCCAAAATTCGAAATGCTCCAAAGGGCATTTCCTTTGAGTGTCACATTGACGCTTCGAAAGTTTTAGATTTTGGAGCATTTTGATTTTTGGATGCTCAACATGTACTTGTTTTTAAAGTACAGAAAAAATACCAGATTAAAAATACTACCCTATCAGGTTGCTTTGAAGATTAATGAGTTAACATATAAAACATCTATGTGCATAACACTAAGTGTAGTTTTGTTTATAGCTTTTTGTTGAGGGGGGGTTCTTCATTTCTATTCTGTCTAATGTAATCTTCCTACCAACACTATATGGATTTGTACCACTGTGATCAAAATTCATGGATGAGAAAATGATATATTTTAAATAACATGCTAAAGAACTCCTAGCTAGTAAGAGAGGCAAATCAAGGATTCAAAGCTCAGTGAGACTGACACCAAGGGCCATGTTCTTGGTACATTTAGGGTCTTGGGCCTAGCATATAGGCCCAAGTTGAAGCATCCCTTAAACAGCTGTTTTCTTTCCTATTTTAGTATTCATTTTATAAAGACCAAGAAACTCTCATCTTCAATGCGCACATTGCTGAAAAATGTAAATGTAAAGATCTAATTTATTTTTAATTTTAATTTTTTTTGAGTCAGAGTCTCACTTTGTTGCCCAGGCTACAGTGAGTGCTGTGGTGTCAGCCTAGCTCACAGCAACCTCAATCTCCTGGGTTTAAGCAATCCTGCTGCCTCAGCCTCCCGAGTAGCTGGGACTACAGGCATGCACCACCATGCCCGGCTAATTTTTTCTACATATATTAGTTGGCCAATTAATTTCTTTTTATTTATAGTAGAGATAGGGTCTCACTCTTACTCAGGCTTGTTTTGAACTCCTGACCTGGAGCAATCCGCCCGCCTCGGCCTCCCAGAGTGCTAGGATTACAGGCGTGAGCCACCTCACCCAGCCTCTCTAGTTTATTTAAGGGAGACTTTCTGTCTCTCTTCAAAGGCCCTTCAATTTAGGGCCCTATGTACTAGGCCCTAAATAAATGATGCTCTTGTTTCTCTCTCATTCTTCCTTTTTAGTATTGAGTGTTGATAAGTAATCTTATAGAAGATAGGACTGACAATCTTTTTAAAAATTATTGTCATGAGACCATGGATTTTAAAAAATGTGATTCAGCATATTTTATAACCAGAAAATTTGTTTAGAAAGCACATCATCTTTGATAGGATGGCTTTGCTAATAAACTATTTAACAGAGAAAAAAAGAGGAAAAAACTCACAACACATAATTGCCCCTTTGAAGAGAAATCTTACACAACAGTCCCATGTATGATTAACCACCTGTGGCCTAACTTGTTTTTTCTAAAAGTTTCTTTTTCACAGCACTTAAAAAGAACTGGGAAGATACAAGGAGTGTGGATACCAGTTCCTGCCAGATCATATTCCAAGGACTCTGATAGCCTCACAGAGGACTAAAAAAAAAAAAAAAGAAAAGAAAACAGCTGCAGCCATTTCACAGGTGCCAGCTTGTAGCAATAACTCCCCCCTTCCCATTTACCACCTAATAACCCCCACCCCCAAACATCTTATCCTCCCTGTGGGCACTTCTCCTTTCTTTCCCTTATGCCATGCCCTTCCCACCTTTGGGAAGTAAAATAAACTTTCTTTCTTTAAAACTATTGTACTCTTTGTGTCGAGAATTCTTTCTCATCCCACGTCACCAGTTCTCCACCCTAACAGTCTTCTCAGTGAATTCTGGGCAATCAAAATTACCATATAAACTAAACATGCCCAAGTTAAGAAATAAATTTTGAAAACAAATTTTTAGCATATTAGACAGTGGGTAAGTTTTAGAAACAGAAAAAGTCTTAACAAATGAATTACCCTTTCAAAAATCAGTACTTAATCCATGGAAAGCTTTCAATATCCAAATTACTTAGTATGTCTGGTTCTGCAAATTGTGGCCCCTGAAGAGGGCCCGGTGAGGCTATGGTATCCAACAGGAGCTTTGAAGCAGACAATGTTTGTAACTACAGCACGTTAGATTGTAGAACAAACCAACAGGTCACTCCTCTAGTAACCTTGCAAATGGCCATCACCTCTGGTCCCAAGTTAGAAGAGATTTGCACCAAGATAGTGGTCAGCTGAGACCATTCATATAATTATGTATATGTCTCCTTGGGGAAAAGGAAGTCTTTCTTAAATAAATTAGAGAAATCTTTACGTTTACATTTCTCAGCAATGTACATACTGAAGATGAGAGTTGCTTGGTCTTTATAAAATGAATACTAAAGTAGGGAAGAAAACAGCTGCTTAATGGATGCTTCAATTTGGAATATTTAAGAAAACACGGTCAAAACAAATAGTGTATGTCGCCTTTAAGATGTGAATAAAAACAGAAAATACCCTCTACATCTATACCCACATCCCACACTTCGAAACTAGAGGCTCAAGTGAAGCAGAATTTATTGTACAAAGGTAGGTCTCAACTGGCCGGTTAGCTCAGTTGGTTAGAGCGTGGTGCTAATAACAAAGGTAGGTCTCAATGCCACTTATTCCATAAATCCCTTCCTTCTTAGCTGGGAGACCTCTCTCCTTCTTCTAGATTCTTCTCACATCCTGAACCTCTTTTGTCACCATCATCTCTTTTGTACCCTAATTGTGTATACACAGAACTGATGTCTCTGATGAGAATGAAAGATCCTTGAATCCAACATTTGTGCCTCATTCATTTGCTTTGTCTAACTCATTTTTACATTCATCTTAGGTCTGTCTCTCTTCAAAGTCCATCTTCTTTTTAACTGTACTATGCTCTCCTTCCAAATCTTTTCTTCTGTTTTTAGTTTGAGACTCCACACAGGAGGGTTTGAGGTCTGAATCCAGATGGAGAGGAGAGTCAGGCAAAAAGGAAGCTGGAATTGAGAAACGTTAGCAAGAATGTATTTGCTTTTCAGGAGAGCTAAAGTGTACAAGAGAGTGTTCCTACTGAAATGAGGCACAGAACAAAACAATGTGGATTCTGTTCTGAGAACAGAACGGCTTATGAGTTAAGGAGCCTTCCAAATACCCCACTCAGGAGCTTAGAACGATGGAGAAGGGGAAACAGGTCAGCAGCATGATTTCTAAGGTATGAGTGTATCACAGTGCTTTGAAGACCATCTGGCTGATGGATGGCAGCCCACTGACACCAGATGAGTCAGCTAATCCAGGTGGCTGGATGCCCCGTCCTCACTT